ATTAGCTTTTCAGCAGTGGTGATGTTTTTTAATTGACCCATCCATACTCTCCGATGTCTGGCCCTGGAGAAAATTGTAAAGTAAGATGCTAGTATTCCTCTAGTCCCTAGAACCGAGTGTTTCAGTCTTGGCACTATTGATATTTGGGCCAGATAATTCCTTTTTATGGAAGACTGGTGCATTGATTTGTAGAATGCTAAGCAGCAACCTTGGGCCCTATCTACTTGATGTCAGTAGCACCCCTCCCTCCAGTTGTGACAACCAAAAATATCTCTACACGTTGCCGGATGTCTCCTGGGAAGCAAAATTACTTCTTTCTTTGAAAAACAATGCCTTAGAAGGATATGATAAAGGTTTTAAGACGAACTTAATGTCTAATTTCTCAAGATCCTTGTACTTAAAAAGACCTACAAAGATCTACCATAACCAAACAGCACATCCAAAATATGAATTCCTGCCCTAGCTTTTTCCCCCTACTCCTCTTTTCTGAATTTTCTATGTTGTATTATTGTTACCACATCAGGCCAATCTGGTTCAACTTTTATGTAGCAAAGTTGTGAGTTATTTCTCAGTTGCCATGGACCCCAGGTTGAAAGTCATGTAATCTGAGCATGTCCAGATGAACACATGTGCTACCTCAGGGGAAACCTGAGTGCTCAGACCAGGAAGGGTGGGGGCGACTGAATTGAGAAGCAGACACCGCATAACAGGATCCAGAATCCAATCAGATGAGCTCTCTCATCACCCCATGGCAGGATCCAGTCATATCATGCCTCCTGGCATCATGTCATTGCAAAATGCAATCAGATCACACCTCATTACCCTATGCTTATAAAACCCAATGCAACCCCCAGCTCAGAGAGACAGGTTTGAGCATTTCCTCCTATCTCCTTGGCAGTTGAATCATGTTGCTTCCCTGCTTAAAAGCTTTTCAGTCCTCCCCATCGCCCACAAGATTAAGTCCAAGCATTTTTAAATGGTGCATGGACCTCTGTGATTTAGCTTCTGCCCACTCTTCCAGTGTCATCTCCCATGTCCCCTCTCTTGCTTTTCACGATTTGGTGATAGCAGTTTCAGGGAGGTAGCATTGACATTTTTTTTTCCTTACCAGAGCTTTCTATCTCATCTGTTTTTTCAGTCTCAAGAGTACATTCAGCATAATGCTGAATTAGGACAGCATACAAAGGGATCAGTATCACTTCCCAACTCTGTTAACTCTTCCAATGAAGACACGCAAGGAACTTGGACACAGGAAGGGGAACATCACACACCGGGGTCTGTTGTGGGGTAGGGGTAGGGGGGAGGGATAGCATTAGGAGATATACCTAATGTAAATGACGAGTTTATGGGTGCAGCACACCAACATGGCACAAGTATACATAAGTAACAAACCTGCATGTTGTGTGCACATGAACCCTAGAACTTAAAGTATAATAAAAAAGAAAGAAAGAAAGAAAGAAAAAAGACATGCAAGGATAATGGTCTTTTAACATACCAGGCAATTTTAAAGTTTTATGTTGACATTGAGAACATCTCACTGGTATTAAAAACTTCAACTCTTTAAATGTATAATTTGTTTAATCAAATTGCACCTTCTTTTTTACACTTTGCAAGTATGGCATAGTAAATACATTATATTTAATTAAGTAACTTGCCATAGTTTCTGTATTGGGGATATTAACATCATTGGTTGGATCTTTTGTTTTGTCATCTTGCTATTTTTCAGAATCTTGAAATAGCACATTTCCATGATGTCTATTCTCTTCAGTGCCTGTGGAAACATACAAAAAAATGTGATGTCTATTCCCCATTTCTGGTTTTCCTGACTCTAGATTAACAGTTGTATCTCCAGCGTTTACCTCTTGGACTTGTTCCTTGGTTGCACAAGCCTCCTCAATATTTTCTCCGAAACTGACATTTTCTTAACTCTTTGTTGTTAGAATATCTACAATTGTGTGTCACATCTCTTCAACAGGCTGAGCCCCTGCCAGAATGGCCTTCTCATAGATGGTGAGAATACTTTCAGTAGGACTTGGGGTTGGTTCAGTATGTGCAAGACATATTCAATATTTTACAAGATTTTTGGCATCTGGAATATTTTTAATCAGATTGTTCAGTGTGACCAGTATTTCTTCTTCTGGGCATCCTTCATTAGTTAGGTTTAGGCATTCAGAAAATGTGTTGCTTACCTTTTCAGTAAATAATCTTTGTTCATCTTCTATCATGGTAGTCCAAAAGGACCCAACTGGTTTTTCATTTTGTCCTTAAGGCTCACACTAGGTAACTATTCAGTTAGGAGGCCTTTTCAGCACTCTCTTTGCCAGCTTTCCACTCATTCAGATGAGCTTTTCTCTCTTCTGAGTTTTCTTTGGATTGAGTTGATCTACTATCAGCAGTTGGTTTTGCTATAGTATGTCTTCACTAGTCAATGGGTTTTGATTTTGCTATCAGTTTGGCATTAGACGATGAAGCACGAGCTGGGGGCATTGGCTCACACCTGTAATCCCAGGACTTTGGGAGGTTGAGGTACGAGGATCCCTTGAGGCCAGGAGTTCAAGACCAGCCTGGCCAACATAATGGAGCCTATCTAAAAAAATAGGTTTTTTTTTTTTTTTTTGAGATGGAGTTTCACTCTTGTTGCCCAGTCTGGAGTGCAATGGCGCTATTTCAGCTCACTGCAACTTCTGCCTCCCAGGTTCAAGCAATTCTCCTGCCTCAGCTTCCCAAGTAGCTGGGATTTCAGGCTCCTGACACCATGACCGGCTAATTTTTGTATTTTTAGTAGAGACGCAGTTTCATCATGTTGGCCAGGCTGGTCCCAAACTCCTGACCTCAGGTGATCCACCCACCTGGCCTCCCAAAATGCTGAGTCACCGTGCCTGACCTAAAAAATAAATTGTTAAAACAATAAGATGAAGCAGGCCTGGCTACAATTTCACATGCTACGCTCCTTTTTTTTTTTATTATTCCTTTTTAAAACTTACTTTATTTTGGCAACCTCTTGTCCAATAGATCAGATGCTATGCTTATTGATTGTGCCTTATTTCTTTTCTATGTCCTGAGACAAACTGGTTTTGACCCTAGATAAAACTGTTTTTGATTGTAATAATTCTGTTTTATGAGACCTTTTCCTGATTGTAAACAAGGCTGAGGTTCTACCGATGCCTTCTTTCACAGTGTCCTGGGTATTATTGGATGACTTCTAATAAGAGATCACACAGACTTAGTGAGCACTACATTTGGTGTACCCCAGGTTACATTTAGTGTAACCTCCGGTCCTTGCACATGCTGTGAAAAAGTACACACTGTTGCACCTTGAGTTTTTGTTGTTTCAAAAAGTTCCAGGAAGAAGCAAAACAAAACCCCTTCCCTCCAGAGATGCCCTCTGAATTGGAGATGAATTTGGCAAACTCCCCACATTACCATACAAAAGTCCCACCCAAGGAGGAGTTTTTTGCCACTTTCTATTCATGTGATATACGAAGAAGCATGACTGATGACTTTACTCCACCTCTACATATGATGATTCAGCTAAGCAGCCCAATACAAGCCCTGTTTTTAGCTTTGTTCCGAGAGGAACTGTTTTGGGAATTATCCCCAGTATTCTCCTTACTTGTTGCAAGTAATGAAATCCCCTTGTTAAATTTTCCTTGGTTGTGGTCATTGGACTGTCACTGTCCAAGCAACCGAACTCACCCATTGTGTGGGTAACACTAGCAGTCGTGTTTGAGACTCTATTACTTTTCACTGTTACGCTGCTGGTGTTTATATGCTGAGGCTCTGTGGCTTTAGGAATAGTAATTGAAAATTTCTTTGTTGCTGCAGAACTCTCATCTTTGACTTGTAGAGGTTTTCTAAGGGAATTAAACTTAGACTGAACAATTTAGCCTCAATAAGATTCCATCACAGACTTCTTGGGCGTGTCAGCCTCTTGCTTTTGTTTTTCTGCAATCATATGTTTCTGTTTACTATTATTGTTAAGGTGAAATGTCTTATATTAATGTCATATGTTGACATTGGGGGTCATCTTCAGTTGGTAACAACTTCAGAGTTTGATTATTATCCTCAAATTTATGTGTGACAATTACTATAGTTGAATTGGTCAGTTCATTAGAAGGTTTTAAAGGAATACAATTTTTACCACCATTGTATTGTTTTTGCTTCTCATGAGTTTGTTGACATTTTCTTTACCAGCCATTTCTGACTTAAGTTTCAAAATATTTGTCTCTTTTTTTTTTTTTTGAGACAGAGTCTCGCTCTGTCGCCCAGGCTGGAGTGCAGTGGCATGATCTCCCCTCACTGCAAGCTCTGCCTCCCGGGTTCACACCATTCTCCTGCCTCAGCCTCCCGAGTAGCTGGGACTGCAGGCGTCCGCCACCACGCCCGGCTAGTTTTTTATATTTTTGGTAGAGACGGAGTTTCACGGTGTCAGCCAGGATGGTCTCAATCTCCTGACCTCGTGATCCACCCGCCTTGGCCTCCCAAAGTGCTGGGATTACAGGCGTGAGCCACCACGCCCGGCCCAATATTTGTCTCTTCTTGGAACTCGTCCTCAAATGTCACCACTCTCTGGCCTCTATTGAGGTTACGCAGCTATGGTAGCCAACTTACAGATTCCAGCTCAGGTCTTTACCATTCTCGGATGCAAAAAGCCTGGACATTCTCTGATTTTCCTGTTTGTATGCAAAAAATGTTTTTCTTCTTAACAGATGTTTCTCGAGTCTTTGTCTTTTTCGCTCTTTGAACATGAATTGGGCCTTGGAGGCCACTGCAGGTCCTGGAATATGGCTTGGGTATTTGTCACAGTCTGAGGTGAGGGGATGCATCTCCAGCTTTAACTGCAGATGTAGGACTCCAGGCCACAGCCAGTGAATACCGCCTATTTGTTTTCTTGTGTAGTGAAAATCACAATTCAATATTGGGTTCCACCCATTTTGCTTTGACTCATACTGTTTCCTTAGTGCTACTCAGCAATTAGTGAAATAATCTCTGGTACTGCACAAAATATGAAATGCTTCAAGAATTTGCATGTCATCCTTGCTCACAGGCGCTGCTAATCTTCTCTGTATTGTTTCTTTTTTTTTTTTTTTTGAGACGGAGTCTCTGCCGCCCGGGCTGGAGTGCAGTGGCCGGATCTCAGCTCACTACAAGCTCCGCCTCCCGGGTTCACGCCATTCTCCTGCCTCAGCCTCCCGAGTAGCTGGGACTACAGGCGCCCGCCACCTCGCCCGGCTAGTTTTTTGTATTTTTTAGTAGAGACGGGGTTTCACTGTGTTAGCCAGGATGGTCTCGATCTCCTGACCTCGTGATCCGCCCGTCTCGGCCTCCCAAAGTGCTGGGATTACAGGTTTGAGCCACCGCGCCCGGCCTGTATTGTTTCAATCTTAGTATATGTGCTACTGAAGCAAGCACTAAATTATTTATTAATATGTATGACAGATTCCTCCATCTCATCCTTGCTTTATTCTCTCCCTCTACCTCCTTTTTTTTTTTTTTTTTTTTTCTTGTTCTTTTTGATTATCCCAAGGATGATGATGATGACAGCACTGACTCAGTGATGGGCTAGGTGAGGGTCAGGGCTGTTTGTTGTACACACTAGTGAGATGGCAATAAAAAAAAAACTGTTCCCGGACCAAACTGAGGGTCGGGCTGCTATTTCTCAGGGTCTAATAATGAGATGCAGACGAACTGGGGAGGAAGAGAGTTGTTTGTTTGTTTGTTTGTTTGTTTGTTTGTTTGTTTTTTGAGACAGAGTCTCGGTCTGTCACCCAGGCTGGAGTGCAGTGGCATGATCTCGGCTCACTGCAACCTCTGCCTCGCAGGTTCAAGCAATTCTCCTGCCTCAGCCTCCTGAGTAGCTAGGATTATAGGCACCCACCACCACACTCGGCCAATTTTTTTGTATTTTTAGTAGAGACAGGGTTTCACCATGCTGGTCAGGCTGGTCTCGAACTCCTGACCTCAGATGATCCACCAACTTAGGCCTCCCAAATTGCTGGGATTACAGGCATGAGCCACCTTGCCCGGCCAGTGGAAGAGAGTTTTATTTCTATAACCAGTTACAGGGAGAAGACCTGGAAATTATTGCCAGGCCAACTCAAAATTTTCCAGAGCTTATATACCTTCTAAGCTCTATGTCTATGTGTAAGTGTGCATTCGTCTAAATACATAAGTGATTTATTTCTTTTAATCTATAACTAAAGTCTGAGTCCTGAAGACTTTCCTCTGAAGCCTCAGTAAATTAGATTACTTAATCTAAAGGGTCCAGGTCTTGGGGTGATTACCCTTATCTTGCCTCCTGCTAAATCACAGAGGTTTGGGGAGTTCCTTCAGACCTCCAATAAACTTGTTTGTGGAGGCCTGGGGAGTTTCTTCAGACCCGCAATGAAACTTGTTTAATCCTAAATGGGTCCTGTTAAGAATTCCTTCATTATTTTGTCACGCTTTAAGGCCCAGGAAAGGCCTAGGCAAAACTCTTGATGGGCTTTTGCTAAATTCCAGCCTTTGTATAGAGCACTGGCTTTTTTTAGTTTTTAATATGTAACTAAACCAATCAGTCAGTACCAAAACAGTTGTGATAGAGGCCTGCATTAGTGAGACCTGGCCTGCCACAAAACCACGAGTCACAGTGATATGATGTCAAAATAACTGAGTTAAAAATTCTTACTTTAGCATATATATTTCTTACTTCCATTCTTTACTTAAGCTGTTGTATCCAGTCCTAGCCCCACGCCTGTCCTTCAGGACTCCCTCTGCTCAGTACTCACCCACTTTGGGAAGCTTCCCTTGGCCTTTCCGGCAACCATCATATTATGGTCTTCAATACTCCCTTAGTACTCTATACACAGTCTACACTTTAAAAAAAATTTTTTTTTTTTTTGAGATGGTGTCTCACTCTGTTGCCCAGGCTGGAGTGTAGTGGCGCAATCTCAGCTCACTGCGACCTCTGCCTCCCAGGTTCAAGCAATTCTCTTGCCTCAGCCTTCCAAGTAGCTGGGAATTATAGGTGCATGCCACCAAGCTTGGCTAATTTTTGCATTTTCAGTAGAGACGGGATTTCACCATGTTGGCCAGACTGGCCTCAAACTACTGACCTCAGGTGATCCTCGGCCACCCAAAGTGCTGGGATCACAGGTGGGAGCCACCATGCCCAGCAAAAATTTTAAACTTTTTATGCAAAAAAAAAAAAAAAATCACAATAATGGTAAAGTTCAAATGAAAAGTTGAGGAAGGAAGGATGACAGAGAATAACATAGGTAAAAGATTGTTAGTATTAATATTGAAAAGAATTTTAAAAATTGATAAAGACAAAATAGCCAATTTACCAAAAAGAAAGAAATTTAAATGGCCAATAAATCTACGAAGGATTATTTATATTCATAGTAGTTAAATAAATGCAATTTAAAACAACAAGATGCTGACCAGGTGCACGTATCGTGCACATATAGTCCCAGCTACTCAGGACTCTGAGGAGGGAGAATGGCTTGAGCCCAGGAGTTTGAGGCCAGCCTGGGCAACATGATGAGGCTCTGTCTCTAAAAAACAAAAATAGGCCAGGCAAGGAGATTCCTGCCTATAATCCCAGAAATTTGGGAGGCCAAGGCGGAAGGACTGCTCAAGGCCAGGAGTTCTAGACCAACCTAGGCAACACAGTGAGACCCCCAGCTCTACAGATGAAAAATCAGATGAGATAGTGGCACACACCTATAGTCCCAGCTACTCAGGAGGCAGAGGATTCCCTGAGTCCTTGAGCTGCAGTGAGCCATGATCTTGCCACTACACTCCATGGCTTGGGGGATAGAGTGAAACTCCATCTCTAAAAAAATAAAAAGAAAAAGAATTAAAGCAGTAAGATGCCATTTTATGCCAATAAGATCATTAACATTTTCAAACGCATAAACCCAGTGTTGATGATTATGCAAGGAAATGGGCACTTTCTTATATTTCTGGTAGGACTACAAATTGGCATAACTTTAATGGAAAGCAATTTAATGACTTGTATCTACAGATTAAGAATTGCCTACTTTGGCCCAGCCATTCTGCTTCTAAGAATTTTTCTCAGGAATAGAGTGCAGGGAGTACTTAATCCAGGGCCTGACAGGCAGGTTTGTTTCCTCCTTTCGGACCAGAGGCTACCACCGCTCACATGTTCCATCAGATCCTCGTTGGGGTCAAGAAGCATTCACACTTGATCCCCCTTCATATTTATTAAATCCGGAGGTACTGGAGCAGTGCTGTATGTCCAGCATCTGGCATTGTTCAATCAAGATGTTAGTTGGGACAGAAGACATAAGCCAGAACCCTGGAAGAAACTGGGTCCCAATAATCAATAAAGACAAAATATGTTATTTATATATTATTTATTTTATTTCTATTTTATCAATAAAGACAAAATTATATTACAATAATCTATAGTCAGTGAATATAGATTATAGCAAACTAAAAAAGGAGGTCCAGACTTCTAAATGACATGTTTCACCATAAAGCTGCTTACAATGAAGGTCTTCCTGAAGCCATCCACACAATTTACCACTGAACCAGGAAATAGTTCTCCTCTAAATGCACAAAATCACTTTGATGTGTTGGGGATTACACCGATTATATCTGAAACTTGGGAGAAAAAAAAAAAAAAACTTTTCCCAGGAATAACCTTGGACATGTGCAAAGAGTTACTCGCTGAAATGTACATTACAGGATTAATTTTAAAAGCTTCAAAGGCAAACAGTCTAGATATCCAACAGTAAAGCAACTGACTTTTTTTGTTTGTTTTGTTTTGTTTTTTTGAGACAGGGTCTCACTCTGTCACTCAGGCTGGAGTGCAGTGGGACCATCCTGGCTCACTGCAACCTTTGCCTCCCGGGTTCAAGCGATTCTCATGCCTCAGCCACCTGAGTAGCTGGGATTACAGGTGTGCACCACCATATTTGGCAAATTTTTGTATTTTTTGTAGAAAGGGGGTTTCGCTACGTTGGCCAGGCTGGTTTTGAACTCCTGACCTCAAGTGATCCACCTGCCTTGGCTTCCCAAAGTGCTAGGATTACAGGCATGAGCCACCGCACCCAGCCCATAGTATATTTTTAAGTGAAAAGCGTACTGCATTCAATTTTTAAATTGGCAAATGACTTGAATAGACATTTCTTCAAAGAAGGTATACAAATTGCCAACAAGGACATGATAATGATGTTGAGTAGGGAATGCAATTCAAAACTACAATGAGATACCACTTTACCACTTCACACCCACTAGAAGAGCTATTAAAAAATGGAAAATAGGCCAGCATGGTGGCTCATGCATTTAATACCAACAATTTGGGAGGCCAAGGTGAGAGGACGGCTTGAGCCTAGGAGGTCAAAACCAGCCTAGGTAACGTGGTGAGACCCCCATCTCTATAAAAATTTATTTAAAATTAGCTGGGCGTGGTGGCATGTGCCTGTATTCCCAGCTACTCAGGAGGCTGACGTTGGAGGAGCCCTTGAGCCTGGGAGGTCAAGGCTGCAATGAACCATGACCACACCACTGCACTCCAGCCTGGGCAACAGAGATCCTATCTCAATAAAAAAGGAAAATAACAAGTGTTGACAAGGATGTGGAGAAATTGGAACCCTCATATATTACTGGTAGGAATGTAGAATGCTGCAGTCACAGTGGAAAATAGTTTGGTGGTTCTTCAGTAGGTTAAGCACAGAATTACCATATGACCAGCAATTCCATTCATAGGTATATACCAAATGGGTGCTCAATTGCACATGAATGTTCATAGCAGCACTATTCACAATAGCAGAGTGGAAACAACTCACATATCCATCAACTGATGAATGAATAAGCAAAATGTGGTATATACCCATATGATGAAACGACATTTATTATTTAACCATGCTACAGCATATATGAACCTATATAATATTACGCTAAGTGAAAAAAGCAGACACAGCCACATATTGTATGATTTCATTTATATGAAGTAGCCAAAACAGACAAATCCATGGAAATGGAAGAGCATATTAGGGTTAGCAGGAGCTGGGGAAAGGAGAGAATGGGGAATGAATGCTTATAATGGCTATGGAATTTTAAAATGATGAAAATTTTATTGAACTACAATAGATAA